ATCATCGAGATCTCATGTTTTGCCGCCAGCTTCCCGGCATTTCCATCGGAAGGCTTTGCGACAAGTGTGACGGCAAATGTGTAATTTGCGATTCTCTGGTGCGACCTGAGAAGTCTGTCCACATTTGCGACGAGTGTAACTTTGGCGGACACCAGGGCAACTGTATAATTTGCAACGGCAGGGGGATATCTGACGCATATTACTGCAGGGAATGTGTGTCGCTGGAAAAAGACCGCGATGGTTGTCCAAAAATAATAAATATTGGCACGGCTCGGGCGGATCGGTTCTACGGAATGAAGAAATACGGGTTCAGAAAAGATGGAGGAACTGTTGTGCCTGGGTAGTTTTGATCTGCTTGTCTGATTAACGAGTAGCAAGTTTGTTGACATTAAAATTTTGATTGGCTGTGGTGCACTTTCACGTTCTACACAATAAGAAGCCCAGGTTGATTTGTATTTTTCTTTTCCTATCTCTTGTTGCCAAACGAAACATATTTCCCATCCCTATTTCTCTTGTAAGAAACCGTACTCAATTTACTTGCACATTGTCCATACCTGGTATATCTGCCTGGCAGCTTATACTGCTCACACCAGTTAGCAACAACTGTGCTGCCATATATACTAGGCTGAATAGGCGCAACATCATGGTAAGATGCGTAGTCCTATTATATCTTCAACACAAACGACGTTATGTTCTACTTGTAAATACTGTGCATTATTTCTGAACATTTCTCAGCCAGTTTGTATTTGCCCTGCCCACCATGTCGTTTAGACAGGAATTCCGCAACCACCAGGTTCAATGTTACGACCACCCAGCAAAATTGGTGGACTTGAATCTAGCGGCGCCATTGGTAAACGCAAGGCAGCCTCCGAGAATGGCTTTGGCACTGGTGCAATTGCAGCAAGCAACAAGGGTACCAGTATTCCTGCTGCAGGACGGCAGATAGCCGTGCCAGCAGTAGGTCCGAAAAAGCCCGATGGGGGCATGGTTTACGTTGGGCGGAGGTCCTCGCAGGGTTTCAAGGTCACAGTAAAGCCGCAGGAAGGCGCTACGACCTCTGGCGCACTGCCCAGATCGACCGCTGCCGCAAACACTCGTGGTGGAATTTCCCGCCGTGCACCACCACGGCAGCCTGGTAAATTAGCGGCACCAAGAAGAATACCCGCGAATAGATCAGCAGTTACGCGGGGCCGCGGGGGTGGTGTGCGAAGAGTAACGCCGCCAGCAATAAAAAAGAAAAGCACACCACCGCCGAACAGTGTCAAGCGTCGGAAACTTGATAGACCAGCAGAGGCAGCTTTGGCTGGCGTCAGCGGCAATGACAATAACGGGAACGCCAATGTAGGGGCTTTTCCAAAGGCCATGGTGGGTGGTATGCATGTAAAGAGTGAATCAGGTGATTGCAGCAGTGACGAGTGCTCTGAAGACGATAGTCTTGGCCCGCCACCAGTCCCAACGCAGCGCAATGGGAAAGATCTTGAAGGGCGGATGCGCGACTTGGAGGCGCAGGTCAGGTACATGAACACAGGTAAAAGAACCGCGCAAAAGGCAAAGAAACAGCTTAGTGTTGAACTCGAGCATAACAATACCAAGGTTAGCCAGCTTGAGTATGAAAAGAAGGTGTTGGAGGCTACTGTGGAGGATAGCGGAAATCAGATACGCTCGTTGCGGGACGCGGTCGATGATTCGCAGAGAACCCTACAAAGCGAGAAGCGTCGACACGAGGACGAGCTTGATGAAGTTCAGCGTAGGCACAGACGTGAGACAGAGCAAGCACAGGAAGTGCAGCGGGAGCTGCGTAAGAGGAATGCAGAGCTTGAAGAGGATCTAGACGCTACACGCACAAGCCTGCAATTAAAGAAGGACGAATGTGCGCGGCTGGAGGCAACAGTCTCCAAGCAAGCTAGCGAGCACATTGAGCTTGAGGGCAACTTCCGTAGCCTACGAGTCAAGGCGGAGCAGCTAGAAAATATTATTAGCGAGCGCGAGATTCGAATTGCCGAGCTGGATGAGGATGTGGCCTCGCGCAGTCATACTATTGAGGAATTGGAGACTAAACTGCGCAAGGAAGAGACACTTCGCCGGGGACTCCACAACGCTATCCAGGAGCTTAAGGGCAATATCCGCGTATTCTGCCGCGTGCGCCCCTTGACGAGTCAGGAGAATGAAGCTGGCTTGCCATTGCCTATCCGCCTGCCCAGCTGCGAGGACAACAACGAGATTGAGCTGACACAGTCTTCGGAAAATGCACTTGGTCGGAGCACTTCAAAGACCTTTCCGTTTAAATTTGATCGAGTGTTTGAATCGGAGTCGACGCAGGACACGGTATTTGATGAGGTTTCGCAGCTGATCCAGTCGGCGCTTGACGGGTACCCGGTCTGCATATTTGCATATGGGCAAACTGGCAGTGGAAAAACTCACACCATGCAAGGCCCGGACGCAATACCCGCCAATGGCACGGATAGCTCGGTCCTAGGGGTTATCCCGCGTGCTGTTAAGCAAATCTATGAAAATACCAGCAGGCTTGCCGAGCGCGGCTGGGAGTATTCGCTTGAGGGCCAGTTTCTGGAGATCTACAACGAGACTATCCAGGACCTGCTTGCGCCGACTACGCGCAATTCACAAAATGGCGAAAAGCAGACAAAGCTTGACATCTACCAGGACAGCGAAGGCCACACGCGGGTCAAGAACGTTACAACAGTGAATGTCGATAGTGCAGGGCGTGTGCACTGGTTGCTTGCCCGCGCAGCCGAGAACCGCACAGTTGCTGCGACCAATTGCAATGAGCGCTCGTCCCGCTCACATAGCGTGTTTACACTCTACCTTCGCGGCAAAAACAGCCTTACCGGGGAGTCATCGTCAGGAGTTCTGAATCTCATTGACCTAGCTGGATCTGAGCGACTCTCAAGTTCTGGCTCAAGCGGCGACAGACTCAAGGAAACACAGGCGATAAACAAGTCGCTAGCATGCCTTGGTGATGTAATCGCCGCCCTTGCAAAGGGCAACCGTCATATTCCATACCGCAACTCCAAGCTTACACATTTGCTGCAAGAGTCCCTTGGAGCCGGCAACTCCAAGACGCTGATGTTTGTCTGTGTCAATCCTAGTCCCTCTAGCGCTCAGGAGTCGCTGTGTTCGCTGCAGTTTGCCACAAAGGTCAACTCATGCCAGATCGGCACTGCACGCCGTCAAGCCGGCACATAGTTATCTTCTATTTCAGGAACTTACTTCTTCGTTTATCTCTATTCGTTATTCACTTCTGAAAGCCTGTGCTTTCTCTTTTCGTCCGTTCCTCCATCTATATTAAATCGAATATAGCATATACGGTGGTGTGAAGCGCATTTAACGAAAAAGCGAAAATAAATGCTAGGTACTGCTGGTAAAATATAACCCAAACGCATCTCTTAATGGTAAGATCCTGCCCTAAGAAACAGGTAGCAACGCCATCGTCAAATCAAGCCCGGTTTTGTGCATTAGATAAGCAATAGGATGTGGTGTACAAAAATAAATTTCTATCAGGACATATACTTGGTCTGCGTCAACATTAATTTATGCGACCATTGTCGCAACATACGTTGCATGGCGGTGGAGTGCCTCCCAGCCACTCACGAACATCTCTGGCAGCAGGCGACGCTCTTGCACCATCGTTGCGAAAGTAGGACTGGCCCATGCAGTTAGGACATGGGCTTCCCGTCCCAGGAACGTGTCGCATGTAAGGCAAGGCCTGTCTGTCTGGCCCTGGTCTGTGCATGGGGTTTGTGTTTCCATGAGCAGCATATCCCTGTCCTGGATATGTAGGATTGTGCGGAGCCAACAAGTCATCTATAAATCCTAGTAGAGATGAGTGATATGGGCGTGGGCGAGACTTCCTCGCTACTGCACCAACGGGGCAGGCGCATGGTATCTTGTAGAAAACCCAGCCACTGTTCCTACAAACCGGGCAAATAACGGTGCATAGCCCTGATTGCGACCTGCTGCCACCGTTGCTGCTGTGCCAATAGTCCCTACCATACGATGGCGAGTTACTAACTACACGAACAGCTGTGCGGTTGTCGCGTAGCGTAGAATATCTGCGATCATCATCCATGGGCTGTGGACGTGCATATGAGGAGTACATGTGTGGAAGTGATGCATGGGTGCGTGGCGACATGTGTGGTGGCTGCTCCATCTGCTCATAACCCATGGTCAGTTGCGAATGTATTCGACTGTCTATCGGACCTGAGCCAATATCCATTCGTCTTGGCAGAGGAGGAGCAGTTCCGCTGCTATCTGTGCCGCTACGGAACTGCTGCGCAAACTGGCTGCGAGGGTCGGAGGGATTGATGACAAGTTGAGGAGGCTGTGCTCGGACTATTGGAGCCCCGGCGCCAGCATCAATTGACTCCTCCTCAGGAAGCGGCAGTGGTGTGTATTCTGGTGGGTCGTCGTCATCCAACAAGTGTCGGCGTTGCGTAGTAGCCATTGTCGTTGTGGTGTATCTGGTCCGTGGACTAGGCTGAAATTGAGAGCTTTCTCTGAACCAAAGCGACACCCAAATTGTCTCTGAAATTTAAATTCAAAACACTTTTACTAGCAAGATATAAATGTGGAGAAAGCAAGGTCAAAAGACTTGATGCCAAGGAAAAGGAAAGGAAAGGAAAGGGAAAGTGGCCTTTTCCACAAAAATAACCAACTCCGCAATAAATGTGGATTCTTCGATGGAGGGCCCACGTGGCTCTACTGCAGACAAAGCTCAGCAATGGCATTTGCCACTTTAACTGTAGCTGGATTAAAAGGCATAGCGGGTTTGAGTAGAACAAGCAGTGCGTTTGCGTTGCAGGTGTGGCACCATGGTCCTTGCGTACAGAAACGTAAGGTACATGTGTTGTGTCCAGATATGATGCTGAAAATCAAGCAGGCAAAAGAGTCTGGTATCAAAAATGTATGCTAGTAAATAGCATGTTTAAATTATTTTCTAAATAACACTTTACAGAAGTGGCGTAACAGCTAGCTCTTAACAGAGCACCTTGGCGCAGTGGAAGCGCGCGGGGCTCATAACCCCGAGGGCCCTGGATCGAAACCAGGAGGTGCTAACTTTTTTAGTTTCTAACAATTCCTTATTGAGTTGCTAACTCTTCTTATGTTTAGAGGTTCGTTTCATAGATTACTGCTGTCGTTACGATAGCTTGTCATTGTCCTCTTTTTTTTTTTTTGTTTGTTGCCATATGGCAAACAGTACGCAGTACATATCCAAATTAAGTAGGATTGGTGCACATGCAAATACGGCGTCGTTTAAATGTATCCCTGTATCTTAGCTACTGCCCCGTCCTTGTCTGCTCTTTACACGGAAACTGCGCAGTATTAATATCCCTTATCCACTGACATTTCTTCTCTGTTAGCAGTTTATTTGAATGCCACAAAGCGCAACAAGGGATCGCGCAATGTTTGCGTCCACGTAGGAAAGCTAGCAACAGGCTTAACAGCACACCATAAAACGGCAGCAAGCCGGCCATCAGCAAGGAAAACGAAAAATACAACATTCTTCTTCACTCGTCTAGAACGTATACTTGTTCTTGTTATCCACTCAATTTTGCTACCAGATTTCCGACGATGCGCATTATCTTTGTCACTGCACTTTTCGCTTGCGCGGCCTACGCTGCACCTCTTCCTGTAGAGCATGTTCCATATAGTGGCACTCTTGGCGGCGTTATCAAGACCGTCTCAGGGCTTACGGAGGCAGTCGGCAAGCTTGTTAACGAGCTCACCAACGATCTTGGCCAGGGACCTCATTAGCTTATTTATTTAGCTTATTTAATAGGCCCACATCTTTGGTTCTGTTCTTTCAAATACATTGAGATTTCTGATACTTGTGGAGTTGTGTATATTTTTAAATGACGGAGCGCATAGAGAACTTGTGTGATTGCGCGATTTTGTTTTATGCGCCACCACGACTTACTGTTGAAAGTCGTTATTGCATCTGGTTGCCTAGCATTTCTTTTCCATGAAAGGGTGCCAGCAAGCACTATTGCCAGTTCCCGTTATAAACACAAGCTGTATTGTGTTAAATGCGTTAAATGCTACTGGTCTGAGGAAGCATTGTTCCTTTCTGGGCTATATCAGAATTTCTGCTACTTGAAGCATTGTCTTGTCAAATTACCTTGATGTTGTGTGGCGTTGAGCCTCAGCTTTAATAGCAGATTCTGGGATTGTAAATGGCATCAACAAAGGAAAGTGGGCTGTGTTGGTTGTGCTGGCGACCAATTCTACTGCTGTATTGTCAATCGGGGTTCGCTACGCAGCACATCCGTTCTTGAAACAATGGCCAGAGCATTTGCGTTTGAAGGCTGGGTTTACTGCATAGCTGCGCAGCGGAAATGTGCCTGGCAAGGCTGATAGCGGCAGCGCTAGTAGCGCCCTTATTCAGAGCGTTTTGGGCATCGGGTATGCTATTAAATAGTCCACATCCTCCACCAGTGACGCGTACACAATCTTTGTGAAGACGCTCCAAGCACCCGCTAGCTTTTTTTATTCCGCTCTTGCACACCTGTCCTTTAGTCGACATCTTCCTCCTACCAAACGCTCCCTCTCAGGCCAACACCCCACCACCCCTTTTGCCCTTAACCACTATGCGTACCTTTGCCATTATAACCGTTGCGGCAACAACTGCGTTTGCAGCACCGCTGGCGATTAGACAGCAGACTGTTGGGCGGGCTGAGAGCGGTCCAAACATGGTTAACGGGCCCTCAGCCATCAGTAACCCTAACGTAAATAATGGAGCTCAGACAGAGGGGTCAATTGACTCGTCGACTTCGTTTGACGGGGCAGTGATCGAAGGGGCAACGGGCAACTCGCTAACAGATATCAACAACAATCTCAACTTTCACGATAATATTGTATCAAATCCCAATATTAACGCAGCGATTGACAGCAGCGGCGGCGCAGTGGTTGGTAATGGAAACCAGGTAATCCCCGGAGGCGACGGAACAGAGCACGACATCTTTTTCAGGCGACAGGCGCCGTTTGATGTAAACAACGTAAATGCACCAGCGGCGGTGAACGATCCTACGATCAACAACGGCGCACTGACTGAGGGATCCTTGGATGGGGAATTGTCCTTTGACGGCGCAGACGTTGTGAATCCAGTGGGCAACTCCCTGACGCAGCTGAACGACAACACCGACGTGTCAGACAACAACTTTGTCGACCCCAACTGGAACGCAATATCGAACAACAATGGGCCAGCGATGGCGGGCAATGATAATACATTCATCCCCATCAACAACCAGGGAATGATTGTGAATTTGGATCCAGGCTTCCTTGAGGCACAGCAAGCGCACCAGGATGCATTGATCCATCAGTTTGTGCATCCGGGATTCTTCTAGTATTTGCATAGCATCATTTGGATTAATATACAGACGCCTTGCATATCTGGTACTTTGTAAGCCCTATTAATTCCCGACATTAGATACTGGAAAAGAGTGGTCACTATCGACAACCGGCGTTCGCGGAAATCCGACACGAGTGAGCAGGCGCAAAACACCGAGGTTATCGAGGAGATCTTGTTCTTCCTTTGCCTTGCACAGCACCAGGCCAGCAAAGCCCAGCGAATTTATGGATATACCGCACCAGGTGCTCTGGCGTCTGGGAAACAGCATCAGTGCGGCGCGCGTCAGGACCATGTTGTATGATACTGCAGCGCCATATGCGCTTGTAAGCTCGGACAACGCTGCGAGATACACAGTTAGCAGAGCAGATGGCTCCAGATGATGCTCAGCAAGCCGAACGCCAAAGTGAGCAAAAGGCAGGTGATTGGATGAAAAAACGCGGCCTGGCGGAGGATTCGAGCGGAGCCAGAGCTTGGCTGAAGGAGCCAAGTCAAGAGAAGCAGGCATCGGCAACAGCTGTAGATGCTTGTGCGGCTGACTGGCACCGGATTCCTCGCCCGAGTTGTAGAATACAATCTGCTGGTCCGACAGGCCATTGACAGTGTCCAACACCGCCGCAAAATCAGTCGCGTCCAGGGGCTCTCCTTGCTGGCGGAACGTGGCAGTGGTGATAAGCAGATGGTAGGGCACAACGCAGTACTTGTTTAACAGCAGATGGTGCGAGGCACCCAGCTGGACAACGTGCAACCGGCCGTCATATGGCAAAAAAGGGTTGACAAAGTCCTTCGCATGCTGCTTCGCCATTGGCTTGCTGCTGGGCTTCTTGGCTAGAGCGGGTACCAGCCGAATCATAAAAAGCACACCCTGCTCGCGATGACTATGTATGGTGGACTCTGTGAACAACAGCGCGCCCTGGGCAACGGCACTAGCATAGCGTCTGTGGACAAGATCATCAAGGCACCTAGACATGGTCGTTTCAACATAGAAGAAAGATTCATGAATATTGGAGGCATTGAGACGCTAGCAGCTGTTGAGACGCACACTCTTTAATTCTGTTTGATTGATTGAGAAATTGCTTTATTAAACCCCCTAATGGGAATAGCGAGATATGGGCGGAGCCGTGAAAGGCACATGTCGTTTACGCGTGTGAGGTTGCTGGTCGCCAGCCAAGTAAGAAGACTCGTTCAGCTTGTGGATTGTAGTAGCACCAGACCCCAGATAGAGTCATTGGATATCGTTATTAGCGTCTTCGCGATTTAGTTCCGCAATAAATCTATTAACAGCGTCATTTGCGCCTGTGCAATCCTTCTTCCCAAGCACCAATATCTTGCAGGAAGCCGTGTGCCCCACATCACATCACCTTTCCTGCACATGCGCTTTTGTCTTTTCCCACTCTCTTTTTGGCTCCACCTTACAGAAATTGGCTTACGGCACAACTTGGAATTCAGTGAAACAGAAGACAAGCGTTAGCGGGCAAATATTTGGATGGTTGACATGGCTACGGGCGAGGCACCTCCGTCGATGGACAACGCGCCAGTGTCGGCGCTCGCGGGCTTTGGCGCCGTGCAGCAGCTGGCGTCGGCGTGCCCGGCGATGATGAAGGCGCATTGGGTGGGCGGGGCAGGCGGGGCGTCAGTAGTGCCAGTTGGCATTTTCGCAACACTGCATGCGCTGCGGGTGGCATACGAGGTGCGCAAGGGCGTGCAAGCGACGGGACGGCAGCCGCTGCTGCAGGAACTGTTTATGATGCTGACGTTCTCGTTCGGCGGCGCCATCCTGACAGGGCTGATGCTGGGGAATGTGCAGCCGTGGCTGGAGACCAACACGACGGTACCAGTATATGCAACGGCGTATTTGCTGATGGCGCGGATGCCCGGCGACGCGTTGTATCGGCTACTGCGGCGGCTGTCGCCGGTGAGCGACGTGTTCCTGGCCAGCGTAGACGGCCTGGTGCGCGGGTATGGCGTTACTACTGCCGGCGTCGACCTGGTGCGCAGCATGCGTGGCCACCCCATCAGCGACTCGTTGGTCGCCTGGGTGCTGGTGGGCACCGTGCTTGGCAGCGGCGGCGGCCTAATCGACGATGTGCTGCAGATATCGCGCCCACGCTGGGCCTTCCGCACACCATCAATATTTACCGCTATCTCACTGGACGTCAAACTTTCGTTTACCGTCACCGTTGGCTACATCCTGTCCACTCACGCCTGGTCCTTTACCGAGCACGCCCCCGCTTTCCCCCTTAGCCCGCTGCTGGACCGCGTGCTCGCTCTCGTGCCGCACCTCTCTGACCAGGAGGCCCAACTGGTCTCCGGCCTGCTGTGCTCAGCCATCGTGGGCACCACTGCCCATGCCCAGGCTGCCCAGTATGCTGCCGCTGAGCGCGCTGCTACTGCCACAGCCCGCAGAAAGAAGTTTGACAGTGACGAAGCCCTTGGGTCTGATGGGTCGTCTCCCTCCGATGATGACGTCGACTCAGCAGGCGATTAAGCTCTACTTCCCTTTTCATTTCTCCTTCTTCCATCCAGCAACAAATAAGCGGTCAATAGTTTGGCCGTGGCGCTTCACATAAAATCAGAACTGGTTTCCTGGACCATTGGAGGTGTCAAAGCAATAGCAAAAAATAAAAGATCTTACATTAGCCCCATGCGCTAGTTGGCAGCAGCGACCTTTCTTTTGGAGGGCCGCTTCTCGGAGCGCTCTCGACTGAG